TACCTAGTAGCAAAAAATATTCATTTATTATTAGAAGTCGATCAATAATTTATTGATAGACACTCTATTATGACGTGTGAGTCATCAGTTTTATGTTTTCTTCTATCAACATTAATAAACTTTCATTGTATGGGTGCCATAACACTTGTTCTTAGATGTTTTGTCCCCTTGCAGTTCAGCTTCATTTAAATAAATCAGCAAACAATAAACGGTACTTGAATCTTATCACAAACTTTTCAAAATATGGGTTTCTGCCAGTGTGCACAGTTGTGGTTTGATTCATGATAAAAGCATATACAGAACTTGTTTGCTAAGAACAAAAAAAAAGTTGGTGGCAGATATCAGGGTGTGATCAGTTTTCAAGCACAACCTTTGCTTTCAGGGTTGCTCAAGGTAGGAAATTACCTGCAGTATTAGAATCTTCAACTGATTTTCAGGGAAAAAAATATTGGGTTTGAAAGCTTGTCAACACATTAAAAGTGTAAAAGAAGATTAAGCCTGAAACAACTGAAAACTGTAAGCCTGTTCTGATGCCAAGTCTTCCCTTCAAGACACAGCTAATATTTTCTACTTCCTTCCTGAAAATAAATGAACTTTATCATTCAGGGACAACTTAGTCACTTCTGTTAGGAGAAATATTTGTTTTGTGTTAAATCATTTTAAGCAAGGAAAGGGATTCAGGTGCAAGAAAGAATAGGAATATTCATGTAATAGATTAAACAGACTGGTTTTAGCTCTGCTATTATCCCTTAAACATTATATTTTGACTACAAACTAGAGAACTGATACAAATCAAGCTCTAGAATACTGGCTGTAACTTGCTTGCAACATTTCCAGCCCTTTTAAATAACTTGACTGCTGATTTTTCAAGAGACAGCTTGATGGAAACTAGTTCTTTAAAACTGGGAATCTTTCAGTTCTCAAATGAATTTTCTATCTACTTAATGTGAACTTTCTACTCATGTCTCATTTTGTTTTAATCATCCATTGAATTAGAACAAATGTTCTTTGTTCTGATGGTGTAAATTTGAGAATGGGTTACATTTTGCTGAAACAGCAGGCTTGTTCATCTATTTATATTATGAACTTGAAGTACATTGGAAGAAGTTCGTATATAGGAGTCTTATTGGCTGCATCCATTTACATGGATTATATTAGTAGTAAACTAAAAGAAAGATAAATCTGGATGGAAAGCAGATCTTTTAGAAAGAAGATAACAACAAAAGGGGTAAAATGCATACAACACATTTTCCAGATTTCTTACCTTCTCAGTTATAGTTACTAACTCCCACTGAAACCTGAAGCTTTCCCAATAAGTATGTTCATATGAAACAACCTTTATAGGTTGTAGATATTTGCAGTGGCCAGAACCCACGATCAAAAAAAAGGTTAGAGCCCAAGCAAAGACATGAAATGAATGTTATATGAAATAATGCTCACTGATTTAAAATGGTTGGCATTGGTTGATCTATTTGCATATATCTATTTTCTCTCACAAACTCCTACATTACACAAATGCACAAAAACACACATTTGACTAGAGACAGAGTAACTGTCTGGATTCAGTAAACATAAACAATCTGTGCATGCTTTTTCTGTAAGAAGTCCAACTGAAGTCCGTGACCCTTCTTAGATAAATATAACACTACTGCTCATGTTTATTCCAGCTTATTTCTTGAAAGTTGGCACGAAAATTAGGGAAAGGAGTTTTGGCGGTATTGAGGTGTTTTTTGCCCTTTACTTTGCTACATGGAATCGTTGTTCCAGGGTTGGAAGGAAAAGGAAAAATATTCAGGCTTTCAGTTTAGTTCCTTTTATTCCAAGCTCAAGACTTCTGGTCATATTCAGTCCTGGTGCTAGTTGCATTCTTTTTTCCTTTCCTTCAAGAGCAAGACGTAAATCTCTGCAGTGGAGAGTTTCTCAACCATGAACCTCTCCATGAGATTCCAGTCTCCTGATTTTTTCAATCTGCATGCAGAGCCTTTATTGATCGAGAAGGGTCTCCAAAGCAGATATTTATTGTTCTCATATGATGACAAGGAAGAGAGGTTCACATTACTATAAAGTGTCAATAGAATCTTCTCTTGTCTATTCATTCATATACTTTCAAGAGGCTCTGTCTCTCTTAGCATACTCTCAATCAATGACACAGCAGATATTTAGAAAATTCATTATGGATCACAATTAATTTTGCTCTTCATTTTCCCAGACTACATTGGTAATATCAACTTTTGAACTAATCTTAGCATATGCTATTCATGTGAGCAAATGTTTAGGCTTATTATGTTGTTCCTGAGGTCAGTGTACAAAAATTTCCTCCTGTTTTGGAAGTTGACTTCTGATTTTCCAACTACATCATCAGAAGGGAACATATGTACAGTCTCATTACTGTCTGCATTTGTTTATACTGGCTGAGGAAATGCCTGGTTGTAATATAAAATGTGTTGCTGTCTTTGTCTTTATGGAAGCCCAGATTGTTAATTAAAGTCATGGGAGAACAAACATAAACGTTATTCTGTACTTTCATTTTCATTTTTAATTTGCTTTTATGTTAGTCATAAAACATATTTATTGTGTTAGACCTGTATAGACAGTTATGTCCCGCTGAATAACTTTAGGCTGCTCCTTTTTTAAATTTAGCCTATTTTACAAGATTGCTGTTTGGGTGGCAAATGGCAACTGAGAGTAAGTAGTTTTGCACTGCTTAAAACAAAGGTGCAGGCTATCACTGTAGGAAACAGCCAAATAAATATTGGAGTTCTTACTGGTCTTTTCTCATAGACTCTGTATTGATTCTGGGCATCTTTATTATGGGATGGTCTCATAGGGGAATGCTTTGCTTAAACGTATGCTGGTAGGCTTTGGAGTTGGCTTAATTTCCAATTCACTTTCATTTACCTTCACTAACTGAAATAATGTCCATGATGTATGCTATGTTTGATTCTACTGTCAATCATGAGGGTAGACTGTGAAGATTATGCTGTTTCATTCTATGTTCGAGCTTGCATGCAGATTCAGCAATATGAATATTTTTCATCTTCTCAGGACTTTAAAGTGGTTGGGCTGTTTTAAATGCAATTAAATGGCTTGATCCCAAAGTTGAGCTGCTAATTAGTTGAGAGCTTCTGTTTTAGTGGTGATGGGGGAATAGAATAAAGAGGATATAACTGAGAAAGGTGAATAGACCTTCCAGAAGAGACCACCAGGAAGAGATCACAGAAACCCTGGAAAGGGGTGGGGGTGGGGAAATAACAAAATGAGAAAGAGCAAGTTTTTGAGAAAAAGAAGCTGAATTCATTATATTAGGAGAATAACTGTTTTAAAATGTTTTAGAAGCAGGCACAGGTTTACCATATTGAACATGGCTGAAGAGTCCAGAGGAGGAGTGTAGAAGAATATCTTTAATTGGAAAAGAAGTAGCAGGAGCAGATGTTTTGTAATTTTCATTAATATTCCTGTGAGAAAGAAATTTCTCCCAAGAAAGATGTATGTTTCTAATGTTCACTTAGCATGTGTAAGTATAAGAATGAATAGAAAATAAATGAAAACAGGATAAGGCAATCTGTTTTTAGGCTGAGGATTATTTTGACTTCCAAGAGTTATAGGAAGTATGTCCAGTAACAGAATAACAAAATAGTTATTTTGTCCATCTCATGTTTGTGGTTTTGGCAACTTTGGTCTTTGAAGTGGAAAAAGAGATGCATTTTGCTTTGCAGAATCTTAATGCATCATTTTCTACCCTTAGTTTGTCAAAAAGAACACAAAGTCATATACTGTAGTCATAATCATCCATTCTACTGTTTACATTATGGTATTGTGATTGGAGGGTGTACAGGGAGAGATTTCAAAATAGGGATATGGGATATGGATGTAGGATATGGATTACAATAACCGTACATGGGAGAATACATAGCCAGATTCATTCTGTGGATATATCTAGGCATATTTGTGTGGAAAACATATTGAATCTGCTACTTGGTCCATAACATTACTGGATGCTTTCCTTCTCACCTAAGTTGATAAGGCACAAATAAAAGTTTCATTTGTCCAGGACCTGGTAGAATGAAAAACATTTAGTGGTTCGATCTTCTGATTGAATGAGGAGCGGGGAGGGGACATAGTTCACTGAATTTCCCGTGCAGGCCTTTAATCATGGCTTCTCATACCTTTTGACTCTCTTAGATCTATGTGACAGTTTTTGAAATAGAAAATAAATAAGAGTATACCAACATCTGAATGTTAATATTATAATTTTCTGTTCATTGGCAAAGTATAGCTTGTTTTGGCTAATCTTAAAAGCTTAGCAGAGTTAGACTTGGTTAATGTTTGGAAAAGAGATCACCAGGAAATCACAGGCTAGATAATTAGTCTAAAATAAATCTTCAGAAAGGCAGGGGCAAACAATTTTCATACTGTTTCCAACTAAATCAGTTATCAATTTGTTTGGTACAGTGGAAGGGTCCTGCAGAGAAAACCCCAAATCCACATTGTTCTGAAGTATTCCCAAATCCTCAAGCAGATTTGTAGCCTGCTGTGGAACATGAGGCTTGTGTTCTATTCTGCTAATGAAATTTGTGCTGGGTCAATTAGCTTAAAGACTGCATTGTTATAATTCAACAGAAATTGAAACATGCTTGTATCCATTGAAAAATTGAAGGAATAAATTAAATAATTCCTTTTTCCCAAATATGATCTCAAGCCTTCCTTCCTTCTTTCCTTCCTTCTTTCCTTCCTTCCTTCCTTACTTCCTTCCTTCCTCCCTCCCTCCCTTCCATAAGTGACTGTGTGACAAACAAAAATAAATTAAAAACAGTTATAACTAATGATACATAATTAAAATATGTAGCAGGGATTGCTATAGGGATTCTATTGAAATAACCTTTCTTTTTACTAATCTGTGTTGATAATCAAGTTGCATTGTTATATTAAAAGATGCTTATAGTCCAGAAGAATAGGATTGCTGATTTTTAACGCAAAACCTGTATATGTTTTTATTTTAGAATCTAAATGCAAAGAAACACTTCTCCATCTTGCAATGAGATTGGGTCTGGTTCAACTTTCGCAGTTCCTGTTATTCCAACCAGGTGGAACAGTTGCAGTCACTTTACTTAACGAAGAAGGATTGACACCATTGGACTTGGCCTTACAGAATGGACATATCAGTCTTGTTGAAATGTTTTCCAAGTAAGTAGTATGGCTTGATATGAAAGAATGGGAAGAAAGAAATTCAATGACTACTTTTGTTTGTACCTCTCTTAAATTCAGTGAATATTCTATTGCAGATGTTTAAATGCAAATACTCTATCAGGGTTTTTCAACCTTTGCAGTTGCTGCTTGGCCTTTAGCACCCAAAATTTCCCAGTAAGCAAGTCCATTGCTTAGAATTCTGGGAGTTGAAATCTATCTGAAAATTGGCAAGACTAGAAAATACTGCTTAATGGGAATACAATATAATTTACTAGTTTATGTCTTGTTAAAGATTATAATCTCATATTTGGTTTACTTAAAGTTTTATGTGCTTATTCTTAAGATTTATGGGTAGATAATTCTGTAAATAATGAGTAAATAGAATACAGTAGAAGAAAAATCTAGCTGCATCTAAACACTTATTAGAAGGGTGGGCAACGAAAAACGGCATCTGTTTATATGTCCTTAGGGAATATCCAAAGTATTTAGGAAATAGCCAGAATTTCTCTCTCTCTAATGTAGACATGTATTCACTGGATTTGGTAGTTGTATCTTTTGCCCTTTTTATGAATTTAGCTTCTCAAAAGGCGCTAGTTTATAAGAGGTTAGAATATACTCTTACAGCAAAACAGCAGTATTCTGTCATTTGTGTTCCTCAACAACTTAGTTATTACCATTTCCTTCTCCTTACCTGACTTGCTTTTCAACTATATATAGATTTCTCTCTGCCATTCACATACAATCAAGCACCCCACTCACAAAGCTGCAGTGAAATAGAACAGATTTTAAGCTGTTCAGGAGTTCATTTCCTGCTGAAGTTCTGAAGCAATATGTTGTTGCTGATTAGACAACTTGGCTGGCACCATCTATTGTACCACAGACCTGCCCTGGAGATCCTCCCTACAATTGACTTAGCAACAGCCAAGTTGTCTGAACTGTATTTTAAAGTTGCCATGAATGTTCTATGCATAGTGAAACAAGTAAGCAAGGAGATTTGTGATTTATAAAGGGAAATAGCCCTTTTGGGGATATTTATTGGGGTTTTTGGTTTGTTGTGCACAAGGCCACTGTACCACATATGGGTAAGATAATCTTAAAATGAACAAAGAAGGTAGTTTGGAGCCAGGATTCTGACAGTTGTCTTGTCCAAATTCACCCATTCTCATTATCCAGTCATGATAGTATTAAATAGGACACAGAGAGAAAATGAGCAAGAAAAAAAAAACGTTACTCCCCCCTTCTTCAAATTTACACTGCTGTTTTGTTTTTAGCTTTACACACTATTCGGTTTGTATGAATTTATGCATTCTTTGTTATCACCCTTACTATGAATGTCTCACTTTTTGGGAACATTTAAACAATACAGCACTCTCTAGAGACTATTTTATATTGTGGTATGCTTATAGCTGGTATGCTTCTGGTTTGTCTATTGAATCTGATTTGTGATTAAATAGTCTGCATTTTTTTAAAAAGTCATAAAAAAAAAAATCAGCTGTACTACTTTTTTTCATCAGAATTCTTCCAAGTTGGAATTGTTGATTCATGGGCAAAGTTCTTCAGAAATTTTTTTTGTTTAGCCTGAGCATTCCATAATATTTTTTTCCATGAAATCTTTGGAATTAGTCAGATTGGAGTCTGAAATTATGGAATGCAGTGAGAGAGGGACTTTGTATAGTATGTTTTACTTGTCCTGACACTTTTACTCTAATCTCATGAATGTGTTGTTTCAGAAGGCAGATCATCCATCCTTTTGAGATTTCTAAAGTGGAACTTGATGAAAATGCTGTCCTTCAATTTGCTTATTCATCAGGGACTTTGTTGCTGACATTTAATCACACAACAGACCATTCGTTAGAATCTGATGTACAGCTCTTTAGGAAATACTTCTGGGATAGAACTTTTATACAAAAGGTAAGTGCCAAATGTAATATAGTGAAACATTATTTTGTTTTCAGTTTAAGAAAAAATGCTGTTTATTCACATTTGAATAGAGTCATTGATCATTTTTAAATTGTCAACTGGTCTTGCTAATAGGAAAAAGGATGGGAAAAAAGAATACTATGATGCCTTAAATACAAATAATTTTATTGTAAAATCAGGATTGTGATCTAGAATTTACATGCTTTAATTTAAACAGTGTAGTCTAGTCAAAAGTGTATGTGAAGCCTGGTATCTAAATTTAATTATCCTGAAATGTCTAGAAAATATAGTGAAATCAGGGAAGTCACTTTGGTTACTAAACCAAGAACTATAACATTTCACATTTAAATTCAAAGATGCTAAATTGCAATTTCCAAAACAGAATCTGATGGAAATGTAATTACCCCTTGATATTTTTATATTTTAAAAGTTACAATACAATTGTTAAGCTTGAACAGTGAAATAACGTGCTCAATAATTATAGAAAAATGTTGAAAATAATGTGCAAAAATGCATCATATTAGAAGCAGCCATTTGCAAAAGTGAATGATTACAAAAATGCTATATTAAGAAACATGCATAAAAATTCAAATGATTTTTATGAAGCTAGTTTTTATTAAACTTGTATGAAAAATGATGTGGAAATTGTGAAAAACCACATTCTATTTAATTGCTGCATGTATTTTACTTTGTACATACATATAAGTTGTATATATGTTCAAGAAAAGCAACCCTTGTCACTTATAGATAACAATCACTTAAGTTATGTACATTTGAAGAAAGAAATAAGCTATTTTATGTATGATTCAGCAATAAGGCCTTTGCAGTACAAAATTAGAAGGAAATGTCTGAAGGAGTGCATAGTCCATAGAATAAACAGGATGTCCTGGGCAGACAAATAGTACAGAGGTTGAACAGAATTTGGAAGACAGATTATAAACAAACCTTATATAGCTGCAAAAGATTAATGTAACCTGCTGAAAATTAAATTGTTCTTGGGGGAAAGGTAATATATGCTTGAAAATTCAAGATGAATCATCACTTAAGAATAAGAATTACAGAAATGTAATAAACTTTGAACACAAATTGCTTATATGGGATATAATGTTATTCGGGATAATGCTGCTATATATGAGAAAGGCACTGAATAAGACTAATATAAATTATAAAAAGAAGTTGAAGATTTTGCCTTGAAGTGGAGAGTGAAATCAGCAAGGCATACAGGAACAATCTTTTTTAGAAATACTTGATTTCTAGTAATTCTCATAGACTGAATAAATTATGTTCTTCTTTTAACAAAGAGGTGTAATTCATATACATCCTGAATTTGAAGGTAGCAACCTGACTGAAAAGTGTCAGATAACATACTTCCTCTAGAATTCTCTGCAGCTGAATCCCCATCATAAAAGTTGGACAGTACACTGCTGGATCCAGAGAAGGCCTTTTTAAAGAAAAATGTGCAGCATAGCTTTCTTAAGACTTGTTAACATATCTCCTTCCTGAAGTAGGCTGTTGCTGGCATCCCAACTTTTGTTGTTGCATCCCTGCAATCCCATATAATAGCCAAGATATGGATTCCATGTAATTCCATAATAGTCATGTGCCTAGCTCACAAATGGCAGGGGTCATAGCAGAATGCTTGGAATCCACAGGACGAAAGGAGCAGTAAGATCACTGCCTGTCCTTGAGTTTGGGGAGATGAAATCCAGCCAGTGAAGAGAAGCATGGTGATTACCTTGATGAAGGAACACAAGAACCATTAAGAGAAAATAAACAATAACTCAGTCCTGGAAAAGAAGAAAACAGGAGAAAAAAATCAAAATAATTTCATCTTGATTCTGTTTGGTATATGAGGGATTAGAGGAAAACTATCAGGCTTTCAAAATTTTGTTATACCTTATATATATTATATAGCATATACCTATATTTAGATATATGCTACCTAAAGCAGCATTTCTAAAATCTTTCCTTCATTTCCTAACCTGGCCTATCTTGAAGGGCTGAGAAATGGACAAAGTCAGCAATATCACTGTTTTGCTTAATTGGGTCACAGTAAAACCTGCCAAGTCCACCTCCTCATTCACTACCAGATTGCAGATGAGCATGCTGTTATTATGAATAAACCTAGAATTTACCAGCAGAATATGACAAGCACAATAATGAAAGTCCAGCCAAAATGTCTACTGTACTACTAATGCAGAAAAGTACTAACAGACCCAAGAACATGCCCATGAGTGAGTGAAGGAATTTTTAGAAGTATAGACAATGAGGGATGCCAGAAATAAGTCTGAGGATTGTATTGCTAAAATCTTAAGATCAAGAATAACAATTAAAAGCTTTAAATACTTCAGAAGCAGGAAATCGGCTAGGGAGGCAGTAGAGCTGTACAGAGAAGGAAGCCATAGTTGTGCCAGTAGGGAAGCTGAGGACATTGCAGAGAACCTGAATTAATTCTTTGCTGCTGGTTTAATCCAAGAAACTCATAATTATGTGGGAAGAACTTGCTCTGCAGCTTTTCTTCATACTGGCATATAGTTTCTGGTGCTGATGTTGGCTTAGTAAGGAGAATCTTATATGACCAGGGGCTTTCCATGATGCCAGAAGAACCAGCCCATCGTCACCCTCCTATAAGCAAGATTCACACCAGCAGCCAAAACAACTTGGAGAAGAGGGCTGACCCAAATTGCTAATCCTCAGCACCTGCTTCTTTTGCCTGTTGGGTCTTCTTGGTGGAGAGCAAGCTACAGAATATCACTTCAGGCTGAGTCCCTATCTCAGCCTTTTGTTTCCTAGAAATAATCTACATCGACACTATTTATTTATTGTTAGTGCAAGTGTTGATTCCTTTCTTATTTGACAGTGTCATTCCTCTACAATAGTGAACTTGAAGCTTTATTTTTATTTATTAATCGAACTTGGTATGCTGTCAAATCATCAACTGTGTAAACCTCTGTAAGTACAATGTCCAATAAAACAAAATCGCCATAATTCACAATACCAATATGATAACCAATATAACAGATATAACCAATACACAGAATGCATACCAAATTTGAACAGTTTTAGTCTTCACAATCTCTGGAAGGCCTTCACTGAGGATGTCAACCTAGCTTTTGGAAGGAAGCTGTTCCAGAGTGTTTGATAGTTTTCTGGCTTCATCACTTTCACTATGTGAAAATGAAGCACCTTGAGCAGTTTCTCTTGGGAGGATCTTTTCAGATGAGTTGAGTCTAATTAGGGAGTCCTGAAACTTTTGCCAATCTTGTATACGTTTATATATCAAAACTACCACTTTATTGGTGATCTGTACAAGGTCTGCAAGATAGGTTGACCAACTATAGTCTGTAAATGATCTTCACTTCTACTTCAAATAGAACTGATTCCAGAAATCTAACTATGAGGTGATAAGGCCGCGAATCATCAACTCATTTTGTCCTTTGCTATACCTATCTATATCTGGATAGGGGACATCCTGAGGAAGGTCCTCAATACCTGGTTGTCTTATTAGGCCTGGGGCTCTAAGGGAACTGGAGACAATGCTTAGGTGGCTCCATTTCTGAGCTGCCTATTTATCTTCTCTCTTCACCTAGGATTTGTATCTCTGCTTTTATAATGTTATTAATATGATTTTTATGTTTTTTTATAAATAGTATTTTTATATATGGTTTTCTCATTTGTTGTCCATTGTCCAGTCACCTTTGGTGAGATGTGTGGCTATACAAATTTGATTAATAAATAAATAACAATAGTAAACTCTTTTTCTTTTTCAGGTCTATAATTGAATATAGGCACTGGCTTAACTTAGGTTTACTTAGCTTCAAGCTATGATCTAACATATGTAGCATGTTGGAATAGTATTCCTTCCAGATATATCCCAAATGTATTTGGACATCAATTCCTAACACTCTGCTGCTAGTGATTTGCTTTGCTGGCTGTGCTGACTGCTGCAGCCTGAGTGCATCTGGTCAGTAACAAATTCGGGCAGGTTACAGATTAAACAGATAATCAGAGTTGGAAGGGACCTTGTAGGCCATCTAGTCCAACCCCTGCCCAAGCAGGAGACCCTACACCATTTCTGACAGGGAGTCCAAACTCTTTTTGAAAGTCTCAAGTGATGGCGCTCCCACAACTTCCGAGGGCAAACTGTTCCATTGGTTGATTTTTCTCACTGTCAGAAAATTTCTCATTTATTTTTAGGTTGGATCTCTCCTTGTTCAATTTCTATCCATTATTTCTTGTCTGGCTTTTGGGTACTTTAGAAAATAGATTGACCCCTTCCTCTCTGTGGCAGCCCCTCAAGTATTGGAAGGCTGCTATCATGTGTCTCATGGTCCTCCTCTTCACTAGACTAGCCATGTCCTGTTCCTGTTACCATTCATCATATCTTTTAGTCTCCAGTTCCCTAATCATCCTGGTTGCTCTTCTCTGTACCTTTTCTAGAGTCTCAACATCTTTTTACAGGATGAAGTACTCTAGGTATGGTCTTACTAAAGCTTTATAGAGTGGTGTTAGTACCTCACTGGATCTTGATTGTATCCCTCTATTAATGCAACTTAGGATTGCATTAGCTTTTTTGGCTGCTGCTGCACACTGCTGCTTCATATTTAGCCAGTTGTCCACGAAGACTCCAAGATCCCTCTCATAGTTACTGCTATTAAGCCTGATTTCATCCAGTCTATATGTGTACTTTTGGTTTTTCTTGCCTAAGTGTAGGACTTTACTTTTCTCTACATTGAATTTCATTTTGTTAGATACAGCCCAGTGTTCTAGTCTGTCAAGATCCATCTGGATCTTGAGCCTATCTTCTTGGGTGTTAGCTATTCCTGCCAGTTTAGTATCATCTGCAAATTTGGTAAGTTCCCCTTCTATTCCCTCATCTATGTCATTAATGAAGATATTGAAGAGTACTGGGCCTAAGGTGGAACCTTGTGACACCCTACTGCTTACTTCCCTCCATGTAGACTTAGACTCATTAAGGACTATCGTTGAGTATGGTTTATCAGCCAGTTGCAAATCCATCTGGTGTTGGTGCTATATATCCCACTTTTTTCTAGCTTACGAAAAAGTAGGTTGTGGTCTACTTTGTTGAATGCCTTGCTGAAATCTAAGTATTGTCAAGCCTGAAATTGACATATGTGTAGCCATTTTAGTTAGGCTTAGTATATATTCTTTTTCTTACTTTGTCTGTGGCAGTCATGGGGGGAAGGGTTTCAGCCACATTACTAAGAGAGTAGGAATAAAGATAAAGAGAATTGTTTTGGCTAGGTGATTCTCCTTCCCATGGGAAACGAGCTGTCCATGCTTGGGGGCCTTGAGGTGGAGATTTATGGCATCAAGCAATGTTGAATTACTTCTATTGGAGAATGTGATTTTTTTTGAGGGGGGGGTGTTTCTAACTTTTAATATTATGGGGTAATTCTGGGTTGTGTCAGATCCAGAATTACCCTGGACTTTGCCAATTTGATGCTTTCCTAAATAGAAGAATTTGTCTTGGAAGATGGACTTTGTTCTTTTCTTTTCAAATGGATTTCATCACTTGGAAATCTGACAAGTATATTGCATTACATTAGAGTACTCTGTGGATACATTACTCTGTGAATTTGTGTTGTGCATCCTATATGAAAAATATAAAATAACAATAACACAATGAACATACTAATTAAACTGATTTATTATTTTAATTTTTTTAAAGAATCTTACTCCAAAGCAAGCTGAAACATTGGGAGGAATACAGATGCCTTGCAACTCTATAACATCTAAAGAAGGTATTTTTATTCTCTATTGTATGAAATTATTTACAATCCATTATATTGTATGTGTAAAATACGTCAAAAGGCTTTCATCTTTCTTTTGTATGCCAAGGCACAGTTTCTTTTTAACCAATATCTACAGAATTATGAGACAAAACAAAGAGAAGCTAAATATTATAATCTATTTTAAATACAGCAATAATAAATATAATTCCAAAGTATTTAATTAAAAAGCATACCTTTGGAAGAATTTTAGAGGCTGTGGTCTAACTGAGAAAAAAGTAGCAATGGCTTTAGCTTCAATAGCAGTGTTGAAAACATGTCTGATTATAGATTTAATGGGGCATATTGCAGGTATTAGTTGAGCTCTCTGTTCCCTACAAGGGCAAAAATGGATGTTTTCTCAATATGGTGGACGTGAGCCAGTGATGAACATTGATGCTTGTGAATGTTGGACAGATTATCCTATTGCCATGTCCCCTTCCTCCCTCAATAATTCAGCGCTCACAGTAGTGCTTGCAGAAAAATTATCTTCCATTTCTTCCACCACTTCTTATTTCAGCTTGCTGACAGAATTTGCTTTCAAAATGGTCTTATTAAAGAAGAGGATTTTGTTGAATTTTTCATAAATAAAATGTGGTGTCTCATACTTACTTGATTTACAAAGTTGCTAGATTGTTGTGTGAGAAGGCTTTCATTGCACAATTCTCTATCCAGTGATTTAGTTTCCCTGATGCCCACACTTCAGTTAAATCTAGAAGAATTCTTCCAGTTTGGCTTTTTCCAGATTGGAAAGTGTAAGCACTCAGAGAAGCTTCAGAGGGCTGGATTTAAATTAAAAAGCAAAAGTCCAACAACACCGCCCCTCCCCAAATCCTTCCCCATCCTAAATGACATCACTCCTCAAAGGCTGTTAAATCTGGCTTTTGATTACAGAAAATAAAAGTTTGCATATTTCTTCTAGAGCATCAGATGGAAATTATAAAACAAACAAGGCACAGAAATGTAATCTGAAATATTTGATCATGAAACAGTTGTGTTTCACAACTCATGTTTACTTAGAAGTAAATCTCACTGGGCTCTCTGTATACATAATATGAAATGATCTCATAAGAAAAATAATTTAAGCTATTGATCTAGTATTGATATTCTAAGTGAGCTTTAAGGTTTATTTTATGGAACTGTAAAACATAATGCTTTGTTTTATGATTTGCATGTATTACATCAGCTATATTAGTTATTGTGACATATCTGTAAATCTCTTTTAATTTAATGTTCATTAGTTAACTTTGAAGTTAAGTAAGTGTCTTGTTTGTTAAGTGAGCATTTTAAGAGAGTAAATTTTCAACAAGTCCTTAGTCAATAATGATCTCATTTCAGAATTTAAAATTTGGAAAGACATTTCAGAGAAGAGATTAGACCATTTTGGAAACTTCCAGATGCCAAGAGCTAATTTATCTGGAAATTATAATGTTGAAGTTCAGTGTCTCTGAAAAAAACTAGAAGAGGACACATGAAACTATTTTCTGGACATTGATTTAAAATTTTCACTGTGTTCACAATTATTCTTTATATGTATCAATATAATTTTATTAGCTACTTAAAATATTTATAAATCACTGCTTTGTCTGTCTTTTATCATACTTAAAAAAAATCTGTCTTGATCAATATGGCATTGTAACAACCAAGAGGCACGTTTCTTCCTCTTAATCTGTGATGTGGGACTGCCTGTCAGACTTACATTCTTACATATTTCCAGCGTAGAAAGGCTCATGTGATGTTTGGCAATTACTAAACTCAGTATCTAGGCTTTCAAAAATGAACTGCTAGAGAAGGGTGGGCTCATCCTCTAAACCAGGGGTGTCCAACCTTGACGACTTTAAGACTTGTGGACTTCAACTCCCAGAATTCCTCAGCCAGCTTTGCTGGCTGAGGAATTCTGAGAGTTGAAGTCCACAAGTCTTAAAGTCGCCAAGGTTGGACACCCCTACTCTAAACCTTTTTCTTTAAGAACTAAGTGAATGTGTACATGAAGTACTTTAGCACTTAGGGCACAGGACTCCAAACTTGGCAACTTTAAGACTTGTGGACTTCAATGCCCAGAATTCCTCAGCCTGCATAACATTGAAGTCCACAAAGTCTTAAAGTTGCCAAGTTTGAGGACCCCTGATCTAGAGTCATAGAATGGGGAGTTGAAAGGGACCCTGAGGGTCTGCAGTGTATAGGAAGACCTTCGGCAAACATTATCTGTTGCAGTTTAAATCAGAACATTAGCTTTACTAATTTATTTATTCGACTTAACCAAAACTTACTAACAGGGTTTATCTTCAGTTCTTCTTTAGGACTCTACAACAGATGTGACTTTTACTCTCTACCAGCCTGGGGGGGTGGGGGTGGGGTAAGATTAATTCACTCAATGGGAAGAGGATTTTCCTAGGGGTTGGGAATAGCTTCTTCCAAGGAGGAAAAATCAAACTGACCAAGCAGTGCTTTAGATAGTTTGATCAGCTGATTCATGTAATGCTTGTTTAACATAAATCTGAATTTTACAAACTAAGAAGGGATTAATTTAAAATATCATGAGCAGATTTTTTTTTCAAAGAGTTCTCTATTAATTATGATAGACTGTCAGTAGTCAGGATCAATGTTCTGCCTGATGTTGCTCTGTTTTAATTCTGCTAAGAACTTTTCCCTTCAGCCCAGCTTTAAAAAAAAAGAACAACTTTGGATTTACCTGCCCAGAGCCCTGAAATACAGAACTAGGGAAATATGCTTGTGTCAAATCTGAAAAGGCAATGGAAATCTGTGTAACTGTACCAGTTCCCAAATAAATATGATTTTAATGTACCCTTATTAAACCAATAAACCAAAATTGTGAGGTATAAAAAGTACACCTGTCCAAATAAAATCAATGTAGCCAGCCTAGTTAAAGTATTTACTTGTTACTTGCTTATCTAAAGAAGTGAATTTCAGAACATGTTCAAAATACATTGCAGAGAGGATAGTTGAAATAAATTATTACTTCACCTACTGGGGATGCTGTCAGGCAAATAATTTTCTTATAGCTGCTTACTTCTCTTCTCAGCACTGCTTAGTTTTATAGAATACAGAGGATATGGAAGTTAGCACCTTTGAAGAGATTTGCTTTATCCATTCGAGTAAAATGCTTAATCCCAGGTCTGGCCACTAAGAAATGATCTAATATCTAAATTCATTTTCCTAAAACCCATAGTGGAATGATAAAGGCACAGTCTAGCTTCTTTTAGGTGTGCCATTTCATTAGAGATTGTTTGGGGAAGCATAGATTGAATTTTCATTTTTCCTGGTGTTTCTGCATGGGGCCATTTTTATGGAGCACTGTTTCAAGTATGTTTTGATCTGGACATGTCAGGGCAAAAGATATCTGGCCATGTCTTTTGTTCAAAGGAATGATTAAACAAGTAGGGAATTTGAACCTATCAAAGGCATAAAAGGAAGTAGTAATGCTTAGAAACATTTTGTTGCTCTTGTTTGAGTCATCACCTTAGCTAGAAGCACCTACTGAAAGTGTAATATTCAGGAATTAAAAAAAAATGTTTAAACGGGTAGGAAAATTATGGATGTTCCCTCCCAAAATCATGGTAGCCTAAATTGTTGTCTGAGGAAGATCACAATAGAGTACCCATAGAAGGATATCTGTAATTGTTTTGACATCTTTAGGGATAAAATCAGACAGAATCTCTCTATGGCAGTGAAAATACACAAAGAACAAATAAAAAATTTCTACTGTTTTGTGACTTCCAAATCATCTCCTTGAAGCAGATGCTTCCCTCAGTCTCATAGAAGGATCATTCCTTGCTGTTAGTTCTGAATATTTAGGACTGTATTCATGCTGTGAATATCATATTCATGATATTTCTAGGTTATAGAGAATTACAATCAGATATAAATCTCTTTACAACAGAATTCTGCTGTTTTTATGTTTGAGTTTTTAATAAATAAATGTTTAGTCTTTGACATCGATTTCAGAAATGGCTACTGCCTGGTTAACAGTAGTGATACTTTCCTCCTGGAAATAACTTAATGTAGAAATAAAACAAATTGTAAATGTTTAATTTGCTGTAAATTAAGCAGGCTAGAGAATTACTGCACACAGAATGACATTATTATGTAGGTGATATTTTGATGGCTTTTACATTGTATGCATTGTTTTTCAAGAAAGATTAAAAAAACACATATAGTCCTTGATCCAGCCACCAAAATTTTAATTTGCTTTTTGTGTGGATGTGTAGATTCTGTAATGTTTTGTAAATCTTTGTGCAAGATCTTTGTGTGAAAGGTGGATTTGCTTTCAGTGTAATTTGTAAAGGAGAAACTTTCCCCTTCAGGTGGGGTCTGTGATTTGCAAAAGAATGCATGATTCATTTATGCTTCCTCCTTCCTGCTTTTATGTAATATTTGAAACCCAACTTTGCAGTGTAAACTCAAAAAACAGATCTGCATCCAGTGATAGAAACTTGATATAAAAATCGGCTAATGAAATAGAACTACTGTAAATGGAAAAACAATGCTCACAGACTATTAATTTCTTTTTTGGCAAACTGTTATTTTAGTTTAACCATGTAGGTTGTAGAAAAAGTTGGAGTTCTGCAAAATGTGCTTAGGCACAGAATATTCATGCTTCTCTTGCATAATATTGGCACTGTTTATGATCGGGGAAAATAAATTAAAAATGATTTTGATGCATCAAGTCCTTATTCCAGACTTTTGAAAAAGAGCCAGGAAATAAAATAATAACACAAATGCAGTTGTTTCCTGTAGTCAAAAGAAAAGGAAGGGCAGTTAAAAAAAATACATGAAATTGCTACTCTTGTTTACAAAGTCAAAATCTCAGGCTCACTATAAATGACTTTGCTGCTCAAGAAGTATTAATAAATAAGGATAATTTGAGATTAAATTTGCACTGTATAGCATACCCCTTTAAGGAGGAAATCTTGTTGAAATTAACCCATTAAAATAACACAAGAAGTTATTGTACAGCCGCCTAGCATTTCAGCTATAGTCATGAGATTTGGAAGTGGTGAATATAGTAAAGAAACATTGTTTGGTCTTTGTATATCCTTCTGTTTTCCTCTTTCAGTGGGTGTCTGGGAAGGGGAAATAAAAAGAATTACTTCTCACGGTTGGCAACAGGGAACTAATGAGAAACTGTATTTCTTTAAACAGATCTTATAGATGTTGCATCTGAGGAACCACCTCTTAAAAATGAAGATTTGACGGTATATAGTCAATCCCCTTTTTATGAATTGCTAAAATCTAATGAGACACCTATATTATCATGCCTATGTTGCACACTTTGCCTTGACAGCCCAACACTTCACAAAATCCCAGCTGGGTTAATGACAGCTAAGTAATGCTTTCTTCTGAATATGTTTCAAGACCAATTAAAAAGTCTCTGAGATTTTACAAAAACATAGTCTTGCTGTCTGCTAATAATATATTTAAAGAAAAACAGCCTTGTCTCATGCTTAAACCCTGATACTTGTGACCAGTCATGTATAGTTAGGAATCTGTACAGGATCAGGGACAAATTCTAAGAATAAACCATTTGCATGGCTGGAGCTGTTTTCTATGGGCATTTCACTTTTCCTGTTATTGCATAAGGCTAATGATGCTTTGCTAATAAGTGTTAGATCTGTGGAAGACCTGAAGAAACAAAATTGTTTTGGATACTTGAGTATGTGACCTTCCTTATATTTAATTGCTCCATTGGTTTTAGTATAACCTATTATGGGGTTTTACCTGGAGATATTTCCTTATAAAACCTCTTTTGATTGGCAATGGCAAGACTTACATTTAAAATCTTCAGCATAGCAAAGCATGTTTTTTTCCCCTTGAGCCCTGGAAATCCTTGCCTTGGATGGACTTGTGGCTTATAATGATTTAACTGTAACTCCAAATATCAAAGATCATAAGGCAGGACATAATTCATGTCTCCACCTATTTTCTGATATGGAAATGACTAAATGACTTGTGGGCACGTTCCCAAGTCTTTGAATTATACAGGAAATAGAAGGTAAGCAGATGTTTTTGATACTTTATGATCTGCATTGTCGGCCTCTTGATAGTTCAAAGTTGCTGGAAGTGTTGTTTTTTTATATGGTGCCTCTAAAAACTGCGACAGCTAAAATAGTTTCTTCTTCCTCCTCTTATAATAAGCTATGCTTGCTGTTGCCGAACTTGCAATATAAATTCTTGAATTTGTACTACTTTCCTGAAGTACTGGATGTCTTCTTGACTGTTGAGATTTTTATAAAAGCTCTGGTTTGTTATTTGAGAATATTGGACAAGAGCTTATTGTAAAAACAGATATTCTACTCTGAGTGGCTAATTTTGCTTGACAGTTTAGAAAAATTAATGTTATATTCTGAAATGAACCAGAGCAGAAAAATGCTTTTGAAAAATATATTGCGTTCTGAAATTTTTCAACACAATTTATTATAGATTACATACTAGAACATAATATTATTTCCATTTGTTTTGTAGTTTCAACAAGAACATATAATTCATCCACAGGAAAATGAAGATGAGAATGCATTGGATTTAGGTAAGAAAATTTTCAGCTGTGTACTTGTATTTTAAAATTCCATTTATTATCCCTTGTGAATGGAAATAACTGTCTGACGGCCTGAAGTGCTAGGTTGCAAATGATAGGACAGAAACTTGTCTCCCCTCTGTCAGCTCTTCTGTGCACAAAGACGCATCAGTTCAAGATTGGTGCTCTGCTGCTTTGTCACACAGTGTCATAGATGTTGGGTGAGTTTTCACAAGTTAAAGCAATTAACTATTCATTTGCTGATAACTCTAGGAGAAACAGTGCAAATAATGGTGGGTTTTTTTTTGCATATCCTCTGAAGCTATGCTGTGTAGTTGCATATGGGTGGGTATAGGCATTTTGTCCTGCCTTTTCATTCTTCAGAAGTATACCTCTCCATCTTAAAGTCAAGATACCATGGCACCATGTTACGTTCCTCTTCATTGCTTTGAAGAGAAGGACTGAAATTTCCGTGAAGAAAGAACAGTTGATTTTTTAATTGTTGTTGTTTGTTGTTTAATTATTGACTTCATAGAGACCCATGGTCACTTGATTGTGATTTTCCAACCATTCTTGCTGATTTCTCACAAGCAAAGTGAATGAGAAAACCAGCAACTGTTAGAATTTCTAGGCAGTATTACTTTCTGTGCTGATGTGGGATTCCAGGACTTGGAATAACAATATATATGAAAGTTGATATTAAATGCAGAATTGAGTATTGCAATGCTTTTTATATATTTCTTTTAAACAATAAGCATATACAGGTAATCCTCGACTTACGATCACAATTGAGCTCAACATTTCCCTTCCAAAGCTAGGCAGTTGTTAAGTGAGTTATGCCCCAATTTACGACCTTGTTGCCTCAAATATTAAGTGAATCACTGTAGTTGTTAATAACACGGTTGTTAAGTGAATCTGGCTTGATCTATTGACTTTGCTGGTCAAAAAGTCACAAAATGGGGATTGCATGCTCCTGGGACTCTGCAAATCACCATAAATAAATACCGATTGCCAAGAGTCTGAATTTTCGATCACATGAGCATAGAGTTGCTGCAACAGTCATAAATGTGAAAAATAATCCTAAATCGCTTTTTTCAGTGCTGTTGTAACTTTGAATGATTGTAAATCAAAGACTACCTGTAGAAACCACTGCCAATAAATCATTTTTTAAAAGTACGTTCTAAATTGGTTCTTGATAATTTATTAATTATAGATAGTGCTTATGGGGATTTCAGTTATGAAACCAATATTTCACACTTCTTGCATTAATTTCCACTTTATATATTTCTTCATTCCATTAACAGCAGCATTTTAGTTGTTTATAGACTAAAGGAGAAGATAATCATATTGGTGTGAAAACGTCAATTGATATACATTTTAGTAATGGGAAGCATGTTGTTGTTTTGGGTTTCTGTTTGCTCTCACATTTATTTCTTTTCAGCCACTTCATATATTGATTTTTGCATTTATACATTTACATTAATTCATTAAATTTTCACAAGCACAAACATTTTATAGTTACTAGTTCTCTGGGTGAAGATAGATTTTGCCCAATATTCTTAAGAGGGGTGGTGCTTATCTCCATTTCAAGGCTGCTGAGCCAGTGCTGTCCTAAGACAGTACTGTGGTCATGTGGCCAACATGACATTGTGGACCACTGTTTCCTCCCCATCCAAGTCATATCTATTTATCTACTTGCATTTGCATGTTTTCAACATGCTAGGAGGGTAGGAGCTAAGCAAATGCTCATCCTGTTGTATGACACTTGGGTCTCAAACTCGTTGGCTTTCCAGCTGACAAGCCCAGTGTCTTAACCACTGAGCCATCACATCCTCCCAGTGAAATGAAGAAGACTAAAAATAATAGAGAAGAAAACTAAGGAATAAGAGCTGGAGCTTATAAAAAGATAATACGATATGGAAATCAGTAAGAAAGAAGAACAAGCTCTGGATGTTAATTAAGCAAGACATACACTGGCAATGATCCAAATAAAGTAAGGGATTGATGAGATGACTAAAATGGACAAAAGTGGGTTTTTCTGCCACTGCAATAGCTCAGGTTATCGCATTGCGTTGGTTTCCTAGGCAGTGATGGGCTTTATCTTATGTTAGCTAGTTAAAAAGCACTGTTCAAAAAGTAAATTAAATTCCAAACTCTAGCCAAATGTTTCTATTTCTCCTTAGTCTCTCTGTTAAAAACATTGTTTCTGGCCTCTATTATCTCTTTACAGAATGATTATCCGTATTTTTGTGAGGAAGGGAAGAGCTGTAGCTAATTTAATGCTAAGGGTAAACCATTGCTTTGCATCAAAAAGAACAGATATTATCTCTGTCATTTCTAGTTAGGAATCTACTTTTTGGAGTATCTGCTAGCCAATGTCCTGGGTTAAATGGATCGGACTCTGTATATAGGAGCTTCCCTAAGCTTCTATTCTAGATCATATTCTATCTATTCATATGAACTTTGAAGATATTGCTTATAAAAAAAGATTTGGCACTCAACAGCAAAGGAACATACAGGAAAAATTGACAGGTTTTTTGAAGTGATGCATCACACATTTATAATTTGTAATTATATCTTACATTGTTGCTTTATCACCCACATTTCAGAAGAATTCCCACAGAAACATACATTTAGCTTAATATTAAAAAAAATTACAGAGATTTTACAAATCAAACTCAGCTTCTGGTGATTCCATAGACACAATCATGAAATTTTCTTGGCAATAATATGGAAATAGCTTCCCATTGTCTTCTGGGGAGTTTTTCAAATTTCCAGTTTAGTTTAGAACCTGAGTTCTCTAAAGACTTGCTACCTAAATACTAAGCAGGCCTGAGATTGGTTAACTTTTTAGAAACTAGAAAAAGCTAGTTAAATACTATTGTTGTTAAGACATTTTACATTAAAATAACAGCAATTCTTTAAAAAGCTAAATGTATTCCTATTTTAAAACATTCCTAAGCTCTGAATGTTTATGTTCTTTTATAACATTGTATTGGTACCTTTTAATAGAAATATATTCTATTTCTAAAACTCAAAATTTATAATGCCCAGTAGTCTAATAGAAAAAGTATGGAACACTAAAGGGCTGCAATTTTAAATCATAAGAGTCTGGATAAAGCACTTTTAACGTTGTTCATGTGATTTGGCAGCCAATGTTTTTATTTTGCTGAGTTCCGTGGCTTATATTTCTGAGGAGGAGAAACATTCTACTGGCCACAGCTTAATCTTCAAGAGATAAAAATCTCAGAGGCCAGATTATTGGCATCACTCACAGTGTGACCAGGGTAGCAAAAGAACATTTTAAGGAGTCTGATTTTTGGGTGGGTTTTGGATTGTTCAGTAATTCCCATTTAATTGCTCATCACTTTCAGACGTTGAACAGAGTGATCTGCTGCATTGTGAGAACCACTTGGGCTATACTGGAGTCTGCAAACTTTGCTTTCAATTCTTTAAAGTCAGTTTCTTTAAGAGTAGGATTATAAAGGATTTCGGTTAATCCCCTCTCTCCCCGGAAAGTAGGTATGACAATAGAAAAGGGATTTGGAACAAACATTTGCATGCTATTCTTTAGGTGCCTTCTCCAATCAGGCATCTTCCAGATATATTGGTCTGCAATCTCATCATAACAAAGGAGCTGATGGGAATTGAAGTCCAACATATTTGGATGATTTTGAATGAGGCAGATTTTGGATATATGCCAAGCTAGGATAATTAAACTCTATATCTCAGTCTTATTAATAGGATTTTGTGAGTATTGAAAAATCTATTTCAAGAAATACATGCCGAATAAAATTAGATAATCCAATTCTCAATTTCCAAATGAAAGAACTATAGTTTATCATTATGGCAATAAACTACAGAATGTCCTTGTTCCTACCACCTTAAGCCATAGCTCGGAGTTTGAATTTCAGCATTTTGCTTCCATTTTTATTAGCCATAGTTCAATATTACCTTTGCATTCAAATTAATTATGCTTGGTTTTAAGAAAGATTACTTGAAACAAGTGAACTTCCAAATCATAGTGTTAGAATGTGGCTTGTTTTAATTAACCATGATTAAGAGCAAGCATGGTTTGGCTTCTGATACAAAACCTTTTGCATTAAAGTGGTTTTGACAGTGAATATTCCCAGTGGCCTGATAACCAGTTAAAGGGTTGTAGGCTATATAGCTTCAGAGCATTTCTTCAACATCTGTTTATACCTCCTTAAAATAGTGGCATTTTTATATCTGTGCAGTTGCTGTCTGCTCTGTATTTTTTCTATTATTCCAATTCCCTTTTTACATATATTAACATTTTAAATAAGATTTATGTCTTTGTCATATAAATTCCTGAACTACAGTAATATAAATAGTGTATGATTTGAATGTCAGGTGGAGCTGAGAGAGACTTGTTAAGTAAAGAATTAAGACTTACCAAACTCTGGAGCACTATGACTACAGTACTTTGAGAATCAAGTCATGACATGTTAAGTGTTTTCAAAGCAATAAAGGCTGCTTTGTATTTTAAAATATAAGATTTTTTTATTCCCAATATAATAAGACAAGATTTATAGATAATCAAATACAGGAAATTGGGTTATGTTTTAGATGAGACAGATAGGAGAATTGTTTAATTGTCTGAACTGTATTTCAAGAAAAATGATCAAGAAGGCCTTTATTAGGTCTGTTTTACCTAATTTCCTTTAAAAAAGAAAGGAGAGCAAACATAGATAAAACTGTACATACAGTTTGTATAGTATGGAATCCATAACTGTATGCTTGTTTCAATTTAACATTAAAACATCTCTTTTTCCAAATACTCATTTGCTTCTTTTTTCAATATGCTGAACTATCAAAAGTTTGTTCTTCTTTCATGTGAGCCTATCAAAATATTTTGCTTGAGACTGTGTGCAAAATAATTTCTTGCATATTCCAGAAATATGAATTCGGATGATCTTGCAGCTAAGGGAAACACAGCTTCTTCCCTCTTGGACTTCCTTGCATTTTTATTCAATGCTGCCAGTAGCATT